TAGAAAGTAAAACCGATATTAAAATTACAATCATGTTCTGAAAATTATTATCATTCAACCGCGTACGTGGCGTTAATTGCTGGGTTTTTAATTGATTTAACCGATGTTTATTGCCCGAGAAGGTGTTGACTTAATTATATATATATATATACAGTGAACGACAAAAGTATGGAACAAATTTAAAAAAAAATGTGCTTTTGCTCAAAAAAATTCCTTGAACACGTCAATTTCGCACTAGATGCAGATTCGAATAGATCATGAAATTCTGAATTATTCAGCAATATGCATACAAAGGCGTCGATAATTTTTTATTTGGGGGGGGATAACATATAAGGAAAATAATTTTATCTATTTTGGGTTCATAATGACTTCATTATAACACCGCTTTCGGTGCTGTAATGAGATACTTTATCCCACCCAAAATTTTGATTTTATAGGTTGGCTATACTTTAAACAGCATAATATTTCGCATATTGGTTGTAATATTTTTATGATTTTTCTAGTACTTACGAGACTTTTCTGGCAATAAATTTTGTTTAACACCAAAGAAAATCCTTTTTTTCTTAACATTAACAGCCGCTTATTGTAAATAAGTAAATTAAGGACGGCATGGCGAATCGATTAAGACATTAACTGTCAAACTAATGACTGTGATACCAACTATCTAAAGTAAAATTCGACCAAATTAAATTTAAGGTATAAAATTAATGTTTTTTATAGAATTTTTGCAAAATAGATAAAATATCATAAAGAACTCATGTCATAAGACCTTTTGTCGCACTCGTCCATTACAAAACTATAAATTGTCCGCGTGCGACAAAATGACGTCTTATGACATTAGTTCTTTAATATACTATTGGGTATTTCCACGAAAAATCCTTAAAATATTCGTACATTGTGATGCTAAGAAGCTACCATTAAGAACAAATACGAAAGAGTTTTAATACTCGATAAAATGTTCAAATGTCGCACCCGTTACTTTTTGAGAAAATTTTAGAAAATAAAGTATGCAATTTTTGTGCATTTAAAATAAATAAATTTTACAGTATCAACTTTAGAAGCCAACTTGGTCGCATTTGCCGATTTTCTAAGGTCGCGCCCGTTACGCTATTCATGAGGTTATAAAAGGTTTTCTATACAAGTTTTTATTGACATTTTGTTTGAGTAAAATAGCTAATTTTTTTATACTATTTTTTTATATTAACGTATATATAACTTGATATGAACATGATATTATCATGAAAAAACGAAGTTTTAGTGTCGCACCCGTTACAATGGAAATACCCTATGCAAAACTCCTTATTGTTTAATTGCTTTTGTATATTGGGGAAAAGGAAAAACTCCTTATTGTTTATTTGCTTTTGTATATTGTGGAAAAGGATTAAAAGGTACCAAAACTAAATATCTCATAAACATAAATATATATTCTTTTTTAAGAACCTAGGTAATCTTTTTAAATATAAAATTTGTTCGTGGGTGTTAAGGTGTGTTCGTGAGTGTTCGTGGGTGTTCGGGTGTATTCGGGAGTGTTCGTGTGTGTGTGTACGTAATTAAAATTTATAAAAATCTGGTAAATTAGGAAAAAAAACGGTTTTAACGCCTTAATTAATCAATGATCAAAAGGGCGAAGTTCAGCATTAGCTGCTTTTCCACTTAACACAAATAAACAGTTACACCCGTGTGGGATTCGAACCTATGACCATTAGTCTATACACGTATATGTATAGGTAAAAATCGATAGTTTTTTAATGACTTTTTACGACTGTTTTCTCTAAATAAAATAGAATTAAAAAGATGCTACGAGAAGAAAGAGACTTTCCTTGAGTGGTTTGTTCGAATTGGGATTCGATTAATAGTTTTTTTTATAATTTTTATATGTAATTTCCACTTTGGTTTACTTGACAAACATGCGGTATGTTTCCGGTCGCGCATTTAATACCCCATAAAGAGAATATTAAACGGTGGCGTGGAACTTGTAATTGTCCCCTAAATATGTACAAGGTATTCACGGTAGCTTCTAAGTCGCAGTCTAATTACCCATTAACCTGATTAGATTACTTGTTTCCGATATACCACCATCTTTGACGAAATTTCACTATTTAACATTAACATATCGTTTATGCATACAATAACTTTAGTGGACACACATCGTCCACCAGCACTGAATTTTAAGCGACGTTCCACCAAATATTTTACATATCGATTTTGCTTTCTATCAAATTCTTGAGCATTTACATTTAATTTTATCAACACTGCTTTTCTTAATCTTTACAAATTAATCTAGAAGGTTATGAAGATCCAAAAGTAGATGCTTATCTAGTATACAGGGTGCCCAGAAAATAGTTCAGTGACACCATTTTTGTTCTGACGAGTATACTTACTATACAGGGTGTCTCACATTCGTGGTTTATTAGAAGTTTCTGGGGAACGGAAAAAGATATCGATTTGAAATTTTAAAAGCGTTTATAATCCATTTAAGTCTATTTTTCTAAAATATTTTGAAAAAAATGACACTTCCGGTTTACCCGGAAATTACATCAACTTTCTTCTTTCAAATGCAACACCCCATACATTTTTAAATTCTAAATAAAATTCTGTAATAAAAATCTATAATACCTAAAGTTTTTAAGTTAAAAATGTTTTTTATCAATTCTTTAACATTTTTTAACAAATTACCTAAGAAAACCCAAGGCACTTGAAAAGGTAATAATAGTTTTATTTTAAATGTAAGAATGTTTTTACATAATCAAATATATTTACTATAGTAAATTAAAAATCTTTCGATTGATGTAAGTATTCCTTATACCTAAAGCTATTAATTTCAAAGATATCTAACAATTTCTAAAATTTTAAATATTATTTTGTATCAAGAAGAGTTTTAAAGTGTCGAAAAATAACTGGATTATTGGGGGGGAAAACCTGTTTTTTTCTTATTTTTTCAGGCCTTGGAAAAAATTGCTTTTTCGGGAAAAATTGAATTTATTCTTTGAAAATATACCTACACATTTGAAAAAATATAGCAATCAATAACTTAACATTATTTTAATTAAAAAAAAACATCCTTACAGAAAAAAATTAAATTAATTTGATTAAAGAAAATAAACGTAAACGTTAAATATACCTACTGTCGATTGGGTCTTTTTTGCAAAAAGGATTCCATTGAAAATATCCAATTACAAAATAATGAATGATTTATAAAGTTAAATTACAAAATTATAATTTTTTAAATCGAAGTGTCAAATAAAACGAAAGTTATGTTAATACAGCACCGAATATGTTTTTTTGCGACCCGCAATTATCTTAAAAAGATTTAAATCAAAAATTTGTATAGAGCGCCATCTATTACACAATAGGGGAATCTGTGTGTCACCGTCAAATGTCAAATTTGTATATTTTATAAACACAATTAAAAAGGTTATACATCGAAATGTATATCTTGAAAATTGACAGTTTTTTTTAAGTAAAAGTAAACAAAATGTTTTATGAGCCCGAATTTAAGTTATAGTTTACTTTTCAAATATTGGCGAAACTGTTGAATACTTTTGTATTTTTGTGTTGAGATAATAAAATAATTTTCACATTTAGTATTATTTTACAAGAAAGGCAATTTATTTTAACGATTGTATGACATTTGACAACTGTCAACTAACTTAAAACTAACTTCAGCCCGTGACTAAAGCGCCATAAAGCCACAACTTGTCAATGTGTATTTAAAAGGTCACTTAGTGTCATGAAAACATGTACGATAAAGGGCATTTTAAAGGTAGGAGTAGAAAAACTATTTTATAAAATAAAATCGTATAAAATACCTATTAGAAAATTAATTGTACTGGTTCTGCATTTTATTACCTATATAACATTTTTTATAGTTTACTTCTAACACAAAAGTTAATTTATTTTTTAGATAAATGTTTTTAATTTTTTTTTGAATATTTAATAAAAAGAAAGTTGTACTTATTTTTTAACCTTTACACTACAATTTACCATACATATACACTATGAAAAAATCATATTTTTTGAAAAACAATTTAAATATTGATTTTTGTCAAAAACCCTATTTTTGTTCGCCGGCTCAATTTTTCCGGAAATTTTTAAACCCTTTCTATGGTTACCACGTAATCTGTCATTGTTTAAAGTTTGAATTGTGACAATTTTTGAGGTTGTTATAAAAAATTTGGTTTGTAAACAAAATTAGGTACTGATACAAAATATTTAGGTCAAACCTTTTTTTAATGATTTTTTCTCAAATTCCTTTCAAAGAACATAATAATTCGTTTTCGCAACTTATTTTAAGATTTTAAATAACACTGCATATAGAAATGTCACTGCAACTGTCAAAAGCGAAAACCGTTACCATTAACAACTTGTAATGTTGTCGTGATTAATCCCTTTTTTTAAATAATAATAATTATAATATAAAATAATTATATATTTTTTTTAAATCAAATGTAATAAAATGACAGAGTAAATTTAGTTTTTGCAAGTTGGTATTTATTGCAAAAATTAGGACAAATTAATAGATATCCATATCATTTTTGAAAGCCAAAAATTAACATGTTTAAAACGAAAATCTGCGAAATTAGCATCCTATTATTAAAAATATTAATTAGACAAATGCATTGATATAATAAATAATTTTCGACATAATAATTTTTGATTTATATTCCTATGGAGCTTCTCTGCATGTTATCCCATTAAACCTACATGGTGATAAACATATCAAAACAATATTCAAATTAAATAAGATTTATGGAAAATATTTCCGACAAAACAAATCTGACCCAGTTCGCAAGAAAAATTATTATGTCAATTCTGTTCAAAACTAAAAAAATTAAAGGCTTGCGGTCAAAAGTGAAATTATAACTTATGTCATAAAGCCTCGACAGGTGTAGCTACGCATATAATTATGTTTGACCCGGTCTAGCTCGAAATTTATTGAATGAATTTTACAATTAATTAAAGAGAAATGTGTTAAGTAAAAGTCGAGAGTTTTTTTTAAACTATAACTTCTTTATTTTAGTGGTTAGTTGATTAACAGCGGGATGATCATTAAGCGCGCTCATATAAATGTCTAGCTCGTCTTCAGAACTTTGATCTTCATTTTTTATGTCCACAGTTTCTGGGTCTTCGGAATCGAAATACTCGTCCTCTTTGTCGTGGTCAATTTGGTCCAGGTTATCGTAGCTGGTATTGTTATCGATTGTTTCATAGTCGAAATCTTCATCTTCACCATCGAGAAAACTCTGGTACATCGAAGTTATGAATTCTTCTTTCAGTAACTTTCTTTCTTCAGGCGTTATCATTGGCGTCTTCACTTTTGCTTTACGTATGACGGGTTTTGCATCATCAAATTCGCCCCACCTTGCGGATGTTGATGGTTCAGGACTTCCGGAAGACATTTCTTCATCTGAGTAATCCCAATCCTCCATTTTTTCTTTCAATTCATCATATTCCTGCTCTTTCTTCACTTCCATTGCCTTGTCTCTATCAATACCTAGATTTATTAGAACAATTAAATTAAATAAACCAAGGCGAAACCAGGAAGAAACTGGAAAAACTAGAAAGACACTGAAGACATGAAAAGTTAGAAACAATTTGTTTCAAACAAACAATGAAGAAAATGGGAAAAAAACTAAAAAAAAACAGGAAGAAGCTAAATAATTATTATTTATTTACAATTAAACTAAATAAACTAAAAGAAACAAGGAAGAAAATGAAAAAAACTAAAAAAACATTGGGAAGAATCTAGGAAGAAATATAAACTATAAAAAAGACATGAAAAAGTTAGAAACAAACAATGAAGAAAATGGAAAAAACACTAGAAAAAACAGGAAGAAGCTAAATAATTATTATTTATTTACAATTAAACTAAATTTAGTTTAATAAACTAAGAAGAAACCATGAAGAAACTGATAAAACTAGAAAGACACTGGGAAGAATCTGGGAAGAAATCCAAACTATAAAAAAGACATAAAAAAGTTAGAAAAAAACAATGAAAAAAATGGAAAAAAACTAGAAAAACCAGGAAGAAAGTAAAGAATTATTATTTATTTACAATTAAACTAACAAGAAACCGCAAAAAAACTGGAAAAACTAGAAAGACACTGGGAAGAATCAAGGAAGAAATCTAAACTATAAAAAATACATGAATAAGTTAGAAACAAACAATGAAGAAAATGGGAAAAAACTAGAAAAACCAAGAAGAAGCTAAATAATTATTATTTATTTACGATTAAACTAACAATAACCCGCAAAAAATCTGGAAAAACTAAAAAGACACTGGGAAGAATCTAGGAAGAAATCTGAATTATAAAAAAGACATCAAAAAATCAGAAACAATTTGTTTCAAACAAACAATGAAGAAAATGGGAAAAACTAAAAAAAAACAGGAAAAAGCTAAATAATTAAACTAAATAAACTAAAAGAAACCAGGAACAAACTGAAAAAACTAAAAAACATTGGAAAGAATCTAGGAAGAAATCTAAACTATAAAAAAGACATGAAAAAGTTAGATCAAACAATGAAGAAAATGGAAAAAAAACTAGAAAAAAAACAGGAAGAAGCAAAATAATTATTATTTATTTACAATTAAACTAGATTTAATTTAATAAACTAAGAAGAAACCATGAAGAAACTGATAAAGCTAGAAAGACACTGGGAAGAATCTAGGAAGAAATCTAAATTACAAAAAAGACATGACAATGAAGAAAATGGAAAAAACTAAAAAAAAAACAGGAAGAACTAAGAACAAAGCGGAAAAAAACTGGAAAAACTAGAAAGACACTGGGAAGGCTCTAGGAAGAAATCTAAACTATAAAAAAGACATGGAAAAGTTAGAAACAAACAATGAAGAAACTGGGAAACCCTAGAAAAACCAGGAAAAACCTAAATAATTATTATTTAAATACCTACCTTCCATTAATATCTTCACAAAAGTGGCCTGCTCATCCATCTTATATTTATCCCTCTCATATATTTCTTCTGAAGACATGTACTGCCCAACTAACTGCTCATATAGAAGGGGATTTCTCTTCATCATTTCCAAATCAGTAAAATATTCATCATCCTTTATTAACTGTTTTAAAGCTTCATATCTTCTATTCTTAACATTTTTACTTCTAAACTTATCCTCCTCCATTAACTGCTTTAGCAACAAGTTACACTCATTATCATCAGAGAATTGTTTGAAGTGTTCCAAATGGTTTTCCTTCAGATATTTTCCGAATTTGGTGAGAAATCCCAGTTTACTTTTTTCGTACATTTCCACAGCTATTTCAGTCTTTTGTTCCTTATTTAAATCCGCTTCCCCTATTTGTTGTTGTTTAAATACAATTTGATTGTTACTCGATAAAAAATCGATTATTTTATCCTTTTCGTTATCAAATTGTATTTCATCTGGTGCCGGATTAAATTCTACCTCCATTATCAAGTTTGATACTGCTGCCGCCACCTGTAAGTGAAAAGCCCAACTATATAATATACGCTACAGATTTCTTCGGCGCTCTATATGTTAATTTGTGAAATAAAGTGCGAAATGTCAATGATGTTAACCTAACAAAATATAGGTTTTAGTTAGTTAATGAGTTTTTCTATTATATATGTGACTTACCCCAGAATGCCGGCTTTTTATTCGTTATTAACCGATTGGATTCAATAAAGTGTGTAAGTTGTTTTTAAGATTCTTTATCTGGTAACATTAGTCACCGTATTGTGACATTTTGTGTTGATAAAAAAATGTTGACTACACTTTCTAAAACAGTCACTTTGTTCTATCAATTTGTATTATTTTTACTGCGCTTTATTCTTTGAAAAGAGTAAATACAATATACACAAAAACAAACATTTTTTCGTTGCAGAAATCTACTTTATCGACATGGATGGTTTCCAGGACTCGCCGCAGTGGCGCTGGAACTGGACGGCGATGTGCGGTCCGGATAATTTTCAAATTTGGTCCACGCGTACGCATGATTTGGGGCTTTGTTTTACACAATTGTGCCTGGAAATTCCAGTATTAAGTCTTTTGGCGATAATCTCGTCCTATTATTACGGAAAATACATAGATTTTGTCAGTAGGGGTAGATTGCAGTTAAGAGCCATCAAAGTTCGTAGTTTTATAGTTCTAATGTTAGCGTTTTTGCCGTTATTACAAGTATATATTGACTTAAATACCAACGAGCAAAATATTACTCAAGTGTCATATTTTCTTAGCGCTGTGCAGGGTATTTGTTGGTTTACTCACTTCCTGTTTCAGTTAGGTTTGAGAAAAAGACTGGGGCTTAGTTGTAGAGGCCCGATGCCTGTTTGTTTTCTATGGTCATTTTTATTAGTTTTAAGCGCAATTTCTTTGAGGAGTCATTATCTATTATACAAATTACTACCGAATCCTGAATTTAAGCTATCCTTATCGTTCGGGTTTAGCTTTGTTTATTTTGTTCTACAAGTTTTCTATGCTATAACACTCATCCCGAGTAGTGGGGGTACGAGTTTTGTGACTTTCCCGGAGGGGAATAACCAGGTATTTTTATTTTTTACTTATAAGTACAGTTCATTTTTTTTATCTGAACTCGTGTTTTTTTGTTAGGTTGGTGGCTTATGCCAGTTTGACTTAGTATTTTTAGTATTTAAAAATGGTACTTCTGCTAAAGAATTTAATTAAATACTTTGACACTGTCAAATTGACAATAATATTTATTATTGATAATTTACTTGTCAATTATAAATAAAAAGATAATTATGCCAAAAATAATAGCAACGAATTCGAATGTAAAAGCCCTTTTGAGGGCAAAACTTCATTTCGATGAAATTATGCCAAATGCCACAATGGAAGAAAAAGTATATCGCCTTATGGACATTTTTGAAGTAAAAAAGTAACAAATTTGGTTTTATAAATATTACATCACACATTATTTTCACATTATTCACCATTGGACAACATTTACGTTCACAAAAAAATTTAATTTCTTTTATATAAATTCTTTTCAAAGCGAAGATTATTATCCGCTAGGAATACTTTTTCTTCTGGGCCGTAAAGCAACCTATATTTAACTACTTTTTATATGATTTTACTCATCCAAGCACCACCAAAGCCAAATTAATTGCATTTTTAACTACGAATTTCGACAACTCAACTTGACAACTGCACAATGTAACCTACAATAATTTATACATAACCACAATTAGATTTATAACTAGCTTAGTTTGTTTTAATCAATGCGACCAACTTGACAACTGTATTTACCAACCAAAACCCTAAATTTGCAACGTTGCCGCAGTCCAGATAAAAAAAATGAACTTTAGGTACACAGTTTATGGCTTTAATTTTTAGGCCGATGAAAATACTCCTTTGCTACATAACGCATACGTAAGATTTAACGAAGATGACCAATCGTATTTGGGGGTTGCAATGGAGGACGCCAATTGGTTCTCGAAATTGTTGTTTTATTGGGTTAATCCGCTTATGGACAAAGGGTTCCACTTGAAGTTGACCAATGCTGACGATTTGTTCGATTTGCCTTTGTCTTTGAATTCTAGCTATTTGAGTGCCAAGGTTAATAAGCATTTGGGGGGTCAGAAGGATGAAAGAACTATTTTAACAAGTCAAGGTACTATTATTGTTTTATTTTCTTCGTCCAGTAAGTATGTAATACAATATTAGAAATATTTGCCAGCACTTATATAAAATGCTTGGTTTTATTATTCGCACCACAAGCGAATTTCATTCCATTAAATGTATTTGTTCATTATATTGCCCACTTATTAGAAGATAAGTTCAGTTTGATTTATGTTGATAAAAAAATTGTATTAAAGATCCATGGATAAATGGCGAAGTTATAAATTTTTCAGTGGCTCTTTGCAAAATTGTTTTTTTCTTCATTTTATTAAATTATATAAAATTTAATATTGAACATTTTTATTTTAAACATTAAATATTGAAATTAAATTATATATTGAATATTTAACAATAAATATTGAACATTGAAGATACCTATTGAAAGTTTTATTTTGTTATAATAAGCATAGGTTTACAAAAATTCTGGCTCCTTCTTTGTTTTTTGTTGCTTTCGTATTCCGTTTCTCGTATGAGGGACCAAATGTAATTACCCATCCATAGCCTTCATTTGCTGGTGAAAACGTTCTCCGTGCTCATCACTTACGTCACCCAGATTGTCCGAGTTATTTACGCACTTGAACTCTCTACTTCTTTTACTCATTTTACACTTTTTATTAACTAAATAAAACTATGATACCTTGTTTAAATATCAACAAATAGCAGTAAAGTATCACTATACCAACTCGAGAAACAAATGAATTCACGTTTGCGGAGTCAAAATAAAATAAAAATCGTCAAAAAGCTGAATTTTGACCTTCCACTAAAAAATTCATAACTTCGCCATTTTTCCATGTATTTTTAACATTAGATTGTTTTTTTTTGTAAAAATGTCAGCTTCTCAAAAAAAACTGGAGTTATCTGTTTGATTTAAACCCTTCCCAGGACGATATGTAAATTTTAGGTCTCAATTTTTGCCATAAAAACAAATTTTTTAAGTTATTAAAATCGCTAGCGTCAAAATACTAATCTGATATCAAAAGTATGTAAAAGAAAGTTTTAGAGGGTTGAAATACCTTCAATTTAAGGGCTTGTTTGACAAATTCGATCAATTAGATTTCAAGCTATACTCAAAAACGTCAAAACAATTCCGAAAATTGAAAAAAAAAATTCAAATTTCTTATTTTAAAAACGCTTCTATAAAAAAAAATAAGTGTGATTTTCGTGTTTAGTGGGTCAAAATACATGGAAAAATTAAAATGGGATATAGTGGGCAGATTTTTTTTTCGATTTTGTAAATTACTGTTATTATTAAATGAATTCTCTTTTCTCTCCCTAGAAAAAATATTGATTTGATTTTCCTGTACAAAATCGTTCAAAGTCTAATTGATTCACCTAATTTATTAATTTACATAAACCTTAAAGTTTCTAGGTTTAACACAAGAACAAATTTTTAAAATTGATTATGCTATAACACAAAGGCATTTTTATATTCCTATAAATAGAGCATTAAACAGTTTTAATACCTTAGACTTAGATATTGATGTTTGTATTATTATAATAAGCATGTCTTCTTTTCGAAAGATGATATGCAACCCATAATTTAAACACTAACCCTGTATTTTCCAAATATATATGTATGTATTCTGTAATTGGGCCTCTGGCCTGTAGGAAGTTAATAAATAATTAAATAAATTACACGCTGACATGTTAGCATTAAGTCGGTTTCATACAGTTGCGAAATGCGAATTGCGAAAAATGTTGTCATTGGTCCATTTGATTGGGCGGGAATAGTTATTTGTTTTACAAGTGTTAAAAAGCGACTTTTTCATGCGAGTTTTTAAGTTGCATTAACACGAGCTTGAAGAAAGCTTTTCTCACAAGTATAACACAATGTTTTTTCTGCTGCCCTTTTATTTTTTATTATTTTTAAATACAAAACAAAATAACCTAAAAACTTTTTTGAATGTCAAACGATGCTGTCAATTTCTTTTCACACAGACCTGTCACTTTTCACACAGAAATGTCACTTTACATTCGTGTTTTGCCTTGCCAATGAAAAGATTCATTTTCTAAGCAACGATGCCATCATGAAAAGTGACTTTTACATAGTGGTCGTAGAAAAAAGCGTTTCGACGTTTTGACAGATCCTGCGAATTCACAAGATTTGAAATCTATAGATTGGTCCAATCTTTAGCGTGTTGCGCATGTGTTTCGATATTTATGTTTATTTCGTTTGTATCGTATACGTAGTTTGTATCGTATACTATAGTGTTTGTTTTGTTGAGTTTTATTCGAAGTTTTTAAATTAATGTTAAGAGTTCGTATTTCGCAATTCGCATTTCGCATCTATATGAGACCGACTTTATGCGTTTTTTTTATGTATTTTGCAATTACCCACAGGTTAAAAAGTAACTTCAGAACCTAGAAATAAAAAAAAAATAATTACCTACTTTGTAACAAAGGGTATTGTAATCCCTTGCAGTTCTTTGAAAAGTTCCTGTTAACAATTTATAATCTCGATAAAATATCGCCAAATTCATCAACTAATTTCAGATGCAGAAGGCGGCAGCTCGACATCGAGTGACGTGACCATTGTGAGGCCTTCGTCGAGACGTAACGTGTCCCTTTTAAGGGCTCTGCACCGTTCCTTCGGCGTGCAGTTCTATGCGGTGGGCGTGCTCAAGTTGGCGGCCGATTGCACGGCTTTCGCCGGCCCTATCCTCTTAAACAAATTAGTCGGTTTTATCGAGGACAAGTCCGAGGATATCGGGTGGGGGTATGCTTACGCTGCTGGGTTAATGATGGCCACAATGACATGTAAGTACATCTAAAACATTTATTGTTATTGTTATTACAGTTTGATTTCATTTCCTTCAGTTCCATATAGTTTTCTTCAAGGTGGTCTCTTGTGTTTCAATTTCTTCTAGTTTTTCTAGTTTCTTCATCTTTCATTTTCTTCTTGTTTACTCCAGCTTCATCTACCTCCTTCTATAGTCCACGATACACAAAAACCGAATGCTGATGCGCATGTTATAGCTACCCAGATAGCACAGAGACATCTTAAAGATATCTTAAAGATGTCGAACGTTTATGACATCTTTAAGACATCCAGTTTACGACGTAAGTCATCTTTAAGACGTCTTTAAGATATCTAATGTTACAAAACACATCGTCTTTAAGATGTCGTTTTAAAGGCATTATTAAGTCATTGCTAAACGTCGGTAAGACGTCTTTAATATCTTAAAGACTACCAATTTAAAACGTCTTGGTTATGCATTGCTACATCACCAACACGTTTTAAAGGCTTTAAATTTAAATTAAAGGTGTATCGTCCTATAGTCCATTACATTTAAAAATTGAGTAGATGTCGCTGCAAGACGAGACCGGTTTACTCAGGAGAACGCGGTAAATTCAAATGTAATGGCAGTTGTCGCTGATAGAATTTATTATGTTACAACAAATGAGGCCTGTCAGAGCAAAGTTAACAATCTCCCGTCAGACTAAAACTGAGTAAATTGAGATAATTGATTTTGGTATTTTAAATTCTAGATTTGTAATTTTTTTTATATATTATATTGAAATATTGTTGTTGTTAGTCTAGTAGCCAACTACAAGGTCTCCAGGATGCATAGTATAGGTGAAATCTATAATTATAAATTGGAGATTGCTGACTTTGATATGAATTGCTGGAGATTGCTCATTTTGTTTTAAACGTTTAAGGATATTTAGAAAAATAAACAAAAAAATAATTGTTTTTTTATTCCTTTAATGGGTATAAAATTTAACTATACAATCAATGTGGGAAAATTCTGAACTGGACCACATAAATCTGGAGTTTCTTCTAAATCTGGGACCAGGTTGCCTTGTGCAAAAAAGTTTTTATAGTACAACAACTCATCATCTTCTTCCCACTTTGCCCCGTAATGTTTTACTTGCAATGTTTTGACATTATCAGCCTTTTCTTGCTTTACCTTTACGTCTTATTATGGTATAATAGCACAAAATAAACAAGATAACTTTTTTTATAATTTATAATAAAACGTATATATACCTATTTTAAATTTATTTTTAAGTGCCATTTACTTCAATAGAACTTAACAGTATGTACCAGTAAAAACACAAAATTAAATCTCTAAAATACGTTATAACATCAAATGTTAGGATATCAGGTGACACAAATTACTAATTTCTAATGGTGGAATTGGAGATTGTATACTTTGCTACACATCTATCAGTGGAGATTGTCGACTTTGCACTAAATGTCATTTTTAAAATAGGATTTTAGGCAGGATTTAGCTCCTTTTGCAGCACATAAACTTCATCATCTTATAGATAATTAGTTGAAGTACAGTCTCCGCCAAAAATCTAATTTTTGACCAAAAGTGGAGATTGTCGGTTTTGCTATGACAGGCCTCAAATATGAACAAATCATAGCAACCTTGAATGTACTATACCATGGAAAAATAATTTACTACCTATACTAATTAAGACCATAAGAAAAATATATGTACCTATACCTACTAATACAATATATTGTATTATTTTAAGAAAATAAGACAAGTGAAATTAATTAATATGATATTTATTGATCGATTTATATTTTAACATATATAATTTAATTGGGGTTAACGTATTGTAACTGATATTAAGAAAATAAATACCTATTGTAAAAATTGTTTGGATTTTTTAAAATTCATTTTGAACAACTTGCGTAACTACTATCATGGGGTCACTACTTACCCCACTGAAAAAGGCTAAACTTTAAATCAATTTTTTTTGAGGTAAGGCTTGAAGAAAATATAATGCAATTCATGAAACTTAATAAAAAACAAAACATCACGAAGTATAGCCGTCGCAGCGAATGTTTCAAATTGCGTATTCAATGTCGAATGTCAAAAACCGATTTCTCGACATACGGTTAACCTAGCGGTTACTTGTATTATATACGTAAAAGAAAACAACAATAATTGTAATATCTGTGCTTGGTTCAGACTGCATTATCCATCACAATAACACTGTTCACTTTTTATTTTGGTTAAACATTCTTTATTCAAGTATTTTTTGGAAATACCAGTTTTTTCAGATGTTAATGTTACACTGATAGTTTTTGATTTTCCTTTTTTGATATGTTTCTTTAGGTTCCATCGAGGGGTGGTTCACTCTTCGAAGTAGGTGTACATTTTTGTCGAAGTACAGCCGAAGTATTCGAAGTACTTCCGAAGTATTTAAAGTACCTCTGAAGTACTAGAAGTTCCTCCGAAGTACTAGAAGTACCTTCGAAGTATTTTCGAAGTACTCGAAGTACATCGGCAGATTCCGCATGATTTCGTGTGTTTACGTTTACGAATCCCTAGTAGAAATTTTACGTTTTTCCTTGGGAAAACCTAACTTTTTTGTATAATTTTATCTTGAAATGTCCTGGTTTATAACGTTATATGACAACGTTAGTTTCTTATGTTTTAAAAAACGTGGGATTTACGAATTATACAACGTTGGAAATATGTCGGATTTATGTATTATACAACGTTGTAAATTCGTGGGATTTGTATATTATTACATTTTTTCGAGGTTACAGTCAAAAGAACAACGTGTGAGATCGATTCTGAGAGATTATTTACATTCAATGCATCGAAAAACATAAGAATCGACATGCCTCATCCCCAGAAACAGGAAATACTAATTTTTTCACGCTTTTTGAGGTTAGGTTGAAGCGCGGACCTGAAGGATAAATTCTGACATCGGGTTCGGATTCAGCGCGTCAAAATCCATAGGAAAGCATATGTCGCATCCCCAGATCACGACATTTTTTTTGTGTGGCTACTGAATGAAACAGTCAAATTAATAGATTTAAATTTAAAAAAAGTTCTGACCCAGCTGGGGTTTGAACTCGGGTCTGTCGGTTGTCAAGCCCAATGAGCCATCAGCCACTTTAATTAAAATCAATTTTATTTGTCTATAAATGTTGCTCATAATATTTTAAAGTTGATTATTTTTTTGTGTTGCTGTTTTGAGCTAAACTTTTTGCATCTTGATCTCTTGCTAACTTTACGGGTCCGTTAAAACAGTAACTTTTGCTCAGTTTGGTTGGTAGTTTGCCACGGTTTGGAAGAAAGTTTGAGTCAGATTTTAGCCAGTCATTGCTAGGAAGGTTTTCTTTAAAACAATTAATTATTACTCCTTTGTGGTTTAGATATGACTGCACTCTTTTGTATCTTATTTTGCAAAAGATTATCCATATTCCGCAGATGTAATTATTACACTTGTTATATGCTTTTTTCACTTAAGGCAGAAGGCCTCCCAAATACATCAGAATACTTTTCTCTGTATTTGCTGTATAAAGTGGTTTTGGGAACATCAAAGCAGGTAGCAACCTGCCCAAAGGATAAATGATTGTTTATCACCTCTGCCAGGGTTGTATTCAATATTTTCTGGGTCATAATTTCTTTAATACACCGTTCCTGGAACATGTTTATGTTTTCTAGGCATCGTTTCTTATAACTCTATATATATAATTTTATAAAGAACAGTGAAAAAAAAATTGGGGAAACAAATAAATGTGCATATATGCCATGCATATAGGTATTTGCCTTTTATGTTTTTTCCATCTCTCTCGGATAAAAATTACCTTATCGTTCAACTATATTTTCCCAAAAAACACTGGGCAGAATTTGCACAAAATTTGGCGGGATGTCAACACCACAGAACATACAACACTAACCTAACCCAGTGGTTAAACCCACACTTTTCGTGATAGAGCGGTAAATTTAAATTTTTGCTCGTTTATTCCGTGTTACCCCTGTTTTCCATATATCACCAAACTGCAGGCCCGGCTCCAGACATTGTGGTACCCCGTGCAAAAATTTTTTGCCGCCCCTCATAGTTACCTACTTTTTAGTGCCCATTTTTAAGGTATAATTTCTAAAAAAACACTATACTACCTATAACTATAGGTATACCTAAATAATATCGTCCCTTGATGCTAAAATTATAATTTTTTTTATCTATAGATACATTGTTTAAAATTTCATGACCATTTTAACACCAAATTAACATCATACATGGTCTATATCGATACAAACCAAAATGGTGTTAAATATGGTTCGTTGGTCCAGTGTAATTTCAAATACTAAAATAGTGTAAATTGAACTCCTTTTTAGTGTTAAATATTATGTGTTCTAGGTCAAATTAAATCATACTAGGTGTAAAGTGTACTTCTCAGTAGTTCGAAAAGAACAAATATTTTTAGATAAACACCGTTTTGGTGTTTGCTGTATATAACATTTTCAAACATAATTCATGGTGTTTATATTAACACCACTTGGTTTAGACACCATTTAAAAGATTAACCTTTACACCACAGATATTTTAAACAATATAATATCGTCCCCTTGATGCTACAATTAGATATCTGGAAAAACACATTCATAAATAAAAATATTCTAAAATTGGTACCTACCTGTAAGTATTTATAACTGGATTCGTAAATTTTCTAGCTATCCAGTTGTTGCATTATTTATGAGAATTATTTATTTGTTAATTATTATTTTTTATTAAAAGGGTGCATGCTGTGATATTATATTAATTTTGTATAAAATGTGCATAAGTACCTAGCTTAAAACACACACAAAAAGCCCAGCACAATGTAAATACCACAACCACAGGGAACAAAATGTCCTCGAAAATGTTTATTTTTTTCAAATTATTAAATTTCAAATAGGTAGTGTACAATTGCACAAAGAAGTTCAATATCAACTAAAATAATTTATAAGTTTGCCTAAAAACAAAGCGAAATCCTGATAAATCAAAAGAAACCGCAT